CCCGAACGGATGACCGCAAATCAAATCTTCTCAGAATCGAACAAACTTGACCAATCCAGGAAGCTGACGTCACGGCGAAGTCAACGACGTTGATCGGTCGGGAATCGGAGCATCCACGCACTCTCACGCGCGCGTGTAAGTCTCAGCAGCAGCAATCCTCTGGTGGCGCGTGTAGGCGCGTGCGGCTGCGGCTGGCGGCGATCTCGACGGCGATCTCTCCGACTCGTCGTCCTGGTCGTCGTGGTATGGTCACTTGCTGGTTTTGGTCTCCGGTTTGGATGGATGATATATTTGATTGGAATCTCGTATATACCTTAAGATCTTCTACTGTATTCTCAAACAGCTATCTAGATCTTGTATCAGTGGAGCACAAGAAATAGAACAACTCCTTGGAAGAGAGAGAGAGAGAGAGGGGGCGGACGTGTTTGCTAGGTTATGGGATTGTATGTTCTCTTCCAAGAGCCTAATGCTGTATATATAGAGTTACAGTAAGGACCCTAAGGAGAATAGAATTAGGGCTTCTAATATATTAATACTGTGGAGCAACCCCACAATTAATATATTAATAATATTAAAGTCCACTACAATAATATTATTGCACTCCCCTCACCTATCCCAAATTACATTTGAGACTCCTTATTATAATTATCTGATTTACCTCCCCATGTTTAAGATATAATGTCCATTAATTAATTCGATCACTGATAATCAAGAATTAAGTAATTTATTATATTACCGAAGCTAGCGCTCGCTCATAGCATTCATATTATGCCGGAATAAATCCACCTGCAGGGTTTAGCATAATATTCCTTCATGAACTCACTTCGGGGACATCATCAGACTAACGCACATGGTGACTGTAAATATCCTAATAGCACATCGAACACATAATGTCATTACCCAATTCATTAAGTATGTCGACCCGGCTTGGATCTCACCCAAAGAATCAAAGCAACAACAATTATGTGCACATGTCTATTTAATATCTTACGGGTTAAGAGCACGCAATAATTAACTGAGGCCTAGTTCGTTTACGACGATCAGTATAAAACGAACATCCCTCTCTGGGATCCTGTTCAATACATAAATGTACTAGTACAACTAATCGGTCAAGAAAAACCGTACGGTTGACACTACAACCGTTCTGATGGGTTGTTCAATTCCATCTAGGTTGTGAACCATTGATTCTTGTTTCGCAAGTAACTGATATAGTGATCTTCGGTACGCCCGATGACGACCCACTTATCTACATGCAAAACAACAGAACGTGGAACTTATTTAACCAAACATAATTCTCATCCATCAAGAAATAACAAGTGTAATATCCACTAAAGCAATGCTTAAGTATATAACACCAACACGCACGCCATCACCACGGCAGAGGAGCGGCGCGCGCACAAGCAGCGCGACGGGGAACGACGACGCAGTGACTACGGGCACGAGGACAAGTTCGATCAGCAATCGCAGGCATCCAACTACCGAGATCGGTCGAGGCCCGACAAGCCTAGATTTGTGATTTCCACATTCACGGGTTGTGACCCGGAGGCTTGGCTCAACCGTGCTGCGCAGTACTTCGATCTCAACGAAACTGAAGGCCATGACCTATTAAGGTACGCAGCATTCTATCTTGATGGTAAGGCCAATGTATGGTGGCAATGGCTCACAAGGATCTACCGTAAGCGGCAGTAGGCCATCACATGGGCCGACTTCGAGAGGGAGTTGCTCACACGCTTTGGCACATCCGATTATCATAACTACAATGAGGCTCTCGCACGTATACGCCAGACGGGCATCTTGCGCGAGTACATCAAGGAGTTCGAGCGTTTAGCCTGCCGCGTGCGAGATTGGCACGAGGATGCACTAGTGGGAGCTTTCATAGTTGGGCTAAAGTTCGATCTAGCTGCAGAAGTCCGACTGGAGCGACCGGACACGATGCACACAACCATGGAGGTGGCCCAACGCCGCGAGGACCATCTAGTTGCAACCCGAAGGGGACGGGCAGACGGCCAATTCACCGATACCCGATGCACGGGCCCGATCCATGAGACCGCAGGCGCATGACCGACCATCAGCGCTCGACCACCGAGGCCAGTAATCAGGCGGCTATCTCCCGAGGAGATCCAACGCCGGCGTGAAAAAGGCCTCTTTTTCAAATGCGAAGAAAAATTTACACCATGCCATCAATGTAAGCAAGCTTTTGTGATCGAAGTTGCTAATTCTGATAAGGAAGAATCTAAGGTTTAGGAAGACCCACATCAGGAGGATGAGGTTGAAGTGCCCGAAGAAGAAGCGGAAATTTCGATGCACACAATGGCAGGGATTAGAGGGCCTAGGACGATGCGATTGCCATCTTGGGTCAAGGATCGTAGAGTGATTGTGCTCGTAGACAACGGGTCATCACACAACTTCATAAATGCTGACTTGTCCCAGAAGCTAAAGTTGCCAACTACAACGATTGAGCCTTTTGAAGTTCGAGTAGCTAATGGTGAGA